ATGGATTATTATATAAAGGCACATTTATGTTCTAACTCCTATAATATTCCTGTAGTGTATCTGCAGCTGGTTCAGTGACCTTACTTTATGATATTTCCTTGTGATAGGCTACCACCACAGGCCAATAAAGTGAGTATAAACCAGTAGCTGTGACCATGCTGCAGTAGTCCCATAATGTAATAGTGCTGAGCTGTTTGGGGGAGTTGTGTTTGGGGGAGGGCTCTGCTGGTGGGAACGGCCTCATGACGTACCTCTGTTGACAGTAGTAAAACCTCCTCACACACACACACACACTGCCTCCACCTCCCTCACACACTCCCGCCGAGCTGCCAGTGAGCCACCGCCGCTCCGCTCCTCTCCATCTCTCCGCGTCCCCTGCGCACTGCGGTGCGTCCAGCTGTGCGCACATCTCATCGCCCCCCGCCCCGGCTCCGGAGCTCCAACCCAGGGCTGAAGCTGAACTCTTTTTAAATCCCCGAACAGACTGGAAAGCAGGAGGACATACAAATATGACTTCTAAAGCGATGGAGCGCCTGAATCTGTCGGAGGAGCAGATCAAACTGCTGGAGGACAGTTTCAAAAAAGTCAGCAAGCATCCGGCTGGCACAACGCTCATGCTGATCGCTGCGGAGTGCGGGCTGTCGGAGGAGGAAACACAAGTAAGTAGTGAACTAATATTTCACTTCTTTCTCCCTCCTTACTGTCTGTGTGTTGGTAGAAATTAGTAGTGAATGTGCGTGATTAAGTTTTCCTTGTGTTTCTTGTTTTTTAGGCTGAAATAAAGTTTATTTATGATTGGTTAATGTTGTCCCGTTCAAGCAGCATCTCCAGAAATATACTGAACCTCCTAATCTACAGATCATTATTATGTTCCTATGGAATAAGATTGTTTTGTAATTGTGATTTCCTACCAAATCACATTTATTTTTGTGTGATTTAAGCATATCAGTGCTGATTTATAGTTGTGGTTTTTCGTCTTTAGATTATGTGATATTCTTTAGTCCTTTAGTT